TCTCCCCATCGTCTGCCCTCCGTCTTCCTTCCGTCTGCCTCCCGTCTCCCCATCGTCTGCCCTCCGTCTGCCTCCCGTCTGCCTCCCGTCTCCCCATCGTCTGCCCTCCGTCTGCCTCCCGTCTGCCTCCCGTCTCCCCATCGTCTGCCCTCCGTCTGCCTCCCGTCTCCCCATCGTCTGCCCTCCGTCTGCCTCCCATCTGCCTCCTGTCTCCCCATTGTCTGCCCTCCGTCTGCCTCCCGTCTCCCCATTGTCTGCCCTCCGTCTGCCTCCCGTCTCCCCATCGTCTGCGCCCCATCTGGCCCCATCTCCTCATTGTCTGCCTCCCTGTCTGCCTTTTGCCTGCCCCCCATCTGAATCTCTCTGGAGCAGGTTTGACTGATCTGGGACAGGAAGTCTGTTTAACTTGGGGGTCCGCCTACCTCACAGGTTTGGGGGGGGGGGGGGTTTAGGGACATTTACTCACTGTGAGAAGTGGGGTGGTGTGGAAGCAACTCATCATGCATCTGAGTGCCCCCTACTGCCCGGGAGAGGGGCTTCAGGACACCGTGATGGGTCTCTGTCTCTCTCGACTGCGAGTCTCGTCCCAGAAAACATGATGCCCGTTGCCCCTCAGTTACAGACAAGCACCAGTTCAAGGCCGAGCCACTGCTGTACCGCTTCCGTTACGACGATGGGACGTACCACCCCCGCAGCGACATGCAGGACGTCATCTCCAAGGTTACGGGCGCCGTCAAAAGTGTGATTAACCAGCACGTTTGGGTTCAGACGGAGGGGGGCTTTCTGACGAGTGCGTCTCTGGTTCCACAGGGCGTCAGGCTGTTCTGCCGGCTGCATAGTTTATTCACGCCGGTGATCAGGTAAGGCATGGCTCCACGCCCCCGCATCGTTAAGCCGCTCGTTAATGCCTCCTGCCCTCCGGGCTTCCTGTTCCTCCTTGCTATAAATAGCATCGCTTCAGAGGTTAACATCCCATTTCGGAAGTAGCGGCTTTGTCCTGGAAACATGATCTAGGGGCTGTTTGGGGCTGGTCCAGTCAGGCCTCGGTGGTCAGCAGGGGGTTGTGATATATCAGCCCAGTAGGTTATTGGTTCAGTCCCTGGAGGCTGTGTGATACTGTAGAATGCGCCAGATTTTCAGCTTCGTCCGGGACCCTGAGGTGAGTAAAAGGTAGACAGCAGTGGGGATTAATTTATAAATTGCCATCATTTATAAATTCACACAGGACATCTTGCGAGAACCGACCCTAATTTATCTTACTGCCAGTGTTTGTAGAACATTAAGACAGCAACCTTCATCTGAGTACGTTCAGAATATGGATGGATCTTGTCGTGCTTTTTGGCATGTCTTAGCCGCCTGCATCATTCCAGTGTTAATTACAAAGTGTTACTCTCCGGTGACTTTGTGCTTACAGCCCAGTGGGTTATATTTCTTTGAAAGCGGCTTATTTACCGCGTCTCTGTGCCCAGAGTATTTTCATGAGAGGACGACACATGACTAAGCTTGTCATTCTTAACATGCAATGCGTGGTCCGGGGTGTGTGTCACAGAGGAAACGCCAGTGATCCATGGAGGATTCTCACACATAACTCTGCTTTCCCTGGGATGCTGTTCTTCCTTTATTGAAGCCATCCTTCACACACCTCTACAGTATGTTAAGAGGCTTTTTGGCTCTATGGGAGCTTTACTTACACAAACGTGTTCTGAGGGCAGAATGAAACATGATTGGTTCAGAGAGCTTACCAATCAGATTTTAAAGGAGGTGGGCCCAAGGAACTACAGGAGGCAGGACCAACCAATCAAATGTCTTGATCCCACCTCCTCTAGTTGCTTTGACCCACCTCCTTTACAATCTGATTGGTTCAGAGAGATGACCAATCATTTTTGTCCACAGAACATTTTTTATGTGAGAAAAAAACTCCCACAAACAATGAACGCACATGAATATTCTGTATTTCTCTCTTTGACACGTTGGGGATTATCCTAATCTATCATCTGTTCATTTTCTGACCTCTCTAGTACTTAAATTCCAATTGGGATATTCCATCTACTCTCTAGGGGTGTCTCAGCAGGGTTCGCCAGTCTAACATATGATTGCCACTTGGTATCACCCAAGTCTCAAGATTACTGTGACATGACATCAGATATACTTGATTTGCCATTTTTGCTCTGGAGTCGCTTGGTTTTTGCAAACCGCGTCTTGCTGACCATGAGAGACATGGTTTGTGCGTTAGAGCACATGCTCAGTGATTTTTCTGGCACCCCTGGAAGAGTTAGGGTCAAGGGCCTAGAACTAGATTACTATACAGTACACTGGGTTTTGAACCCACAACCATCCAGATGGTGACCACCCTTCTACTGTGTGTCTCTTCAGAGATAAGGATTACCACCTGAGGACGTACAAATCAGTGGTAATGGCGAACAAGCTGATAGACTGGCTCATTGCACAGGTAAGGGTCTTTGTTTACGACACTGCTCGCTGCGCTGAATATTAATACTGGTTCTGCCTGCGTGTGAAATGTCTCTTCTAAGGAAACGGAAAAAATGAATGAGGCACAGGGGAAACGTCGTTTTCCAAACTGGCCGCTCACTCCAAGAATGCGGAGGAGGAAACAGCCTGAAACAATAAGCGAGTCGCCATTTTGAAGTGTAATTGTGAACAAGGCCAAACGAGGCTGAAATTTACCGCTGCTGAGAGTGTCCAGGTGCTAATGAGCTCAGCGCACGGCTTTGGGATTTAAAAATCTCCTCCGTGTGGTCGGCCAGTGGCTGCAGTGTGTATAGTTTCATGCACATATTGAGTGGCCTTTGTCTGTGATTTTGTTGTTCCGTTGGTGAAATTGCCCCGGAAGCCCATGTACCGATTAGGATGGCAGGGACCCTCGTGACGGTGGCCTGCCCGCTCTGCTGTCCTTTTCCAGGGAGACTGCAGGACCCGAGAGGAGGCCTTGATCTTGGGGCTGGAGCTATGTGACAATGGATTCATGCACCACGGTAGGACACTAGTGTTAGCGCATTAGCATGTATTAACATCGAACGTTAGTCTGCTAGTTATTATTATGAATTCATTCTGAGGCTGAGCTGTTTTTGGTGCATTGTGTGTGAAACACCCTGTGACAGATGTCACCCTGGGGGGCCCGTGGCACCTCTGTGTTCATGCGGGCACACCCTGTACACCCAAGGAAATGAGAGCCAGGCTGGAAACGGTCTACGAGCGATCTTCATTGCGATCATGCTCAATTTTGTTGCTCTCACTTCTTAAACACCGCTGCGTCTCATGCCGCGTCTCACGCAGTATTTGTGCGTGACGTAATCAATACCGACTGCTCACCGTTTGGTTCTGCTACCAGCAAATTGCTAAAATGTGTGCGGGGTATGGTAACTGTAGCGATTTAGTGTCCTATCTTTGACATATATTTTCAGTACTCATTTGAGTTGTCTGGTACTTATAGTGACTGAAAGAGTGTCGTATGTCACCAGTTAAGTAAAACAGAATGTTTTAGAGACTTTTTTCTGCTTGTTGCTCTGGAGACGACTTTCTAGAGTGTTTTATGACAGAGAGTCAATCTAATGCCTCTTCTGGGCATAAGTGTGTCCCGCTTTCATCTTAGTGTGTCAACGCCATGAAGAATTGCCCGGGTCTTGTCTTTGATGCCCAAGCTGAAAACATTTACGCTGCCATTTTTCACTTTAAGCTCTCATTATGCCCGCAAAAGGACATGATTCGACGCAAGTGGAAATCAATCAAATCCCCTTGCGATCCATGACACGAAGGGGAGGGGCTTACGGTCAGTGTCACTTCTGCAGTGCTGGAAAAGAGCGAGTTCAAGGACGAGCCCCTTCTGTTCCGGTTCTTTGCGGATGAGGAGATGGAAGGCTCCAACACCAAGCACAAGCCCATGAAGCATGACCTGAAGGTTGTGGAGAACGTCATCGCCAAGTCCCTGCTGGTGAGAGCCGCTCTCCTGCTTCGGATGGTGGTGGTGGTGTGTGTGTGTGTGTGTGTGTGTGTGTGTGTGTGTGTGTGTGT